AGTTGTGTAGCGGTATTTTTTTTAACTTCTCGCTGTAGTATGGAATTACTGCGGCAATATCCGGAACAGCTGTATGGTCAATTAATATATAAATAAATTTTATTTATTTAATTAAGTAGTATATTTTGTTTTTCATTATTGACATTACATTTATTAACAAACTAACTGTAATAATTAGACGGATTCGAATAGCAAAGAAAGGACAAACACAAAAATTTATTTTTAATTTTATTGAAAATTTGGCTGATTATACAACACTGTTTCAATAAATTTTCTATAAAATTAAAAATAAATTTTTGTGTTTGTCCTTTCTTTGCTATTCGAATCCGTCTAACTTTTAAATAGTTTCTTTCGTCATAAAAAGACACGTCATTATCGGCAAGAAAAAATTAACCTTAACTGTAATAATATTTATATGGAATTGGCAAGGTTATGCAGCATTTAGATATATGAGTGAAGTTCTTCTATATCGTTTTTATGTAAATCAAAAGTATCTCCAACCTTATTAATTCTTCAAATAAATTAAACGACACATAAAATATGATAGACTTGGTAGACTTAGACCAGATGATTGCTCACTGTTCAGTGACTTTTCTTAAAGAAATTCACTCTACAATCACTGTGTCTGACCAATTGTTTTAGTTTTTTACCTAAAATAATTATACTGAAAAAAAGGATCCGATGGGTTTAATACCAGTTTCTTTTTTTTTAATTAAACAGTCTTCTTAAGAATTTTACAATTTTCTTATTCATTATAATTAACAATCTCTGCACATTGTAAACATCGGTTATTAACCCAAAAGTACAACCTTGAAATACTTTAACACGGTAGCATTGTAATGAATTCATTTTTGTGTATCTTTAACTTAAATGATTTCAAATTAAGTCATTTTATTGTTTTTAAAAGCGTTTCATTCTTTCGTCCAGGTACCTGCGGGCTGAACTTCACCGGTTAGGGCCAAACTCTTCTACTACGAGTACTAAACCAAAATAAATTAATTATTAATCCCGATATAACAGGACATTAATTGCATATCATATTCACTTTAGCAGTCGCTTCGATGTCAATACAATGAAATTTATGTTAAATTTTTTACAATATATTTAGCAACTCCTATGTAATTTGACCATCATCCACCAAAGCTTTTCAGTTCTGTCCTCACACAGTGCTGCCACAGTTTGCCATGAGTTGGTGTACAAAATTATTGGACGTACACGCAGAGCAATAACAACTTTTTTATGTAGTTTTAACCATTCCTAGACACGAACTCGGTTAACAGCGTTTTAATTTATTATTATTATTAGTATTTTAATGCAAAAAAAAACATTTTTTTTAGTGCCATGAAGACGTATAAAACACGTTGCAGCATTTCACAACTTTAAGCCTGCATCTAGCAAAGCCAGCCAGTCGACGAGCAAAGAGCTTAACTTCACTAGGCGATCGCATGGCTGATGCTTCAATTAATTGTTAATCGCGCAAGTACGCCAACTTCTAGAAAATTTACTGGATGCTTAGCATTCCTCTTCTTTATGTTCCTTGTTTATAAACTCTTGGCTCATGGCAGATTGCGTCAGTAACCATTCTTGAGAGCCCTTCGAAAGTCCCTTGTTGTTCTGCAAATTTGAAATGAAAGCTAAGCCAAGTCGCTGGTTTGGTAAGTGAGCATACAAAGTCGAATGATTTATGGTTTCAATAAAAGTTCATGTTTTATTTCTGTTTTAATTAATAACAATATAATGAAATTAATTTGCAACTTAATTGTTAGTAATTCTTTATCCCTGCAAACATAAGCATGCAGGAGAATCATAAGTTCAAAATGGGCATGAAGCTAGTAGAATTAATTTCGACTTCTAGTTTCAAAGTTCAAGGCTGTCTATCGGAAGTACTGACAGTGCTTCATTTGTGTAAGTCACTAAATAACTTTCATTAAAGTTATCAAAAAGATGTTTATGTTGCTACTGCCTACTTTCCGCAGTATTTTTTTACATACTTCTCATATCTATACACTTTCTAAACAGCATAAACTCGATAAAAGTGTCAAAAACAATATCAGACATGAATAAATTAATGTTATCTGTAAAATTATATATATATAATATATTCAACAAACTATTAAAATGAATTAACTATTAAATCTAATTACTTAAATTCTAAATACTATTCATTTATCTCTTAAAAAGTATTTTAATTTAACTATACAAAGAACCTTGTGTTAGTGAAATGTCTGTAAAATCTCTATCTCCGTCCGGCTCTCTAAAACTTCTAGCATTGAGAGATTGATGAATAGCGTCCCTTTTATTGATTTGCTATCATCGCACACACATTTAAAATAATGCTTACCGTCAATAACTACTTTTAAGGACTCGTATTGTATACGAGTCTATTAACTATATGATAGGCCAGCTCTATTAAACTTAATTCTAAATTAATCCCAACTTTGTAACCATCACTTGCAATTTTTCGGCTAAAAACAATATGTCTTTATTACAGTTGATTTATTATTATAAGATAGTAAATAAAGTGCTCATAGTCTTTTTCTTAAGATTAAAATTATAATAGTTGGAAAGAAAACTGCAGAGATTGACACAAATTATAAACTCACGATGCGCTCTCAACACTATACAACTGTTGAATATACAATTGCATTGCTTGCAATCACTTTTCAAACACAACAACCTTAGCGCGAAGAACAGAAAGCTGATCTGTAGCCAGATAATTAAACCAGCACTACTTTATGTGCGTGTCGCGTATAGCACAGCTGCCGACTCTACTATCCAGAAGCTACAAGTTGCTCAAAGTCAGGCTCTCCGAAGGCTCTTCAAAGTGCCATGGTATATTCGCATGCTAAGAATGACATGCTAAGAGACCTTAAAATAGATCCGGTCAAAAAATACATAAGGGACAGAGCTCTGAAACTATATGCGAAAACTGACATGCTGCCCTACTTAGCACTATCTAATCTCAGAGTAATAACTGACCGCACGGGGCGGTGCGCAGATCTTAGATCATCATTGAATAATAACGAAGATTATCAGGAATACTCAAATTAGTCAGTGAGAGGGATGGGACTCTGCAGAAACCCCCCAGCCATCATAGAGTAAAAGTGCCCAGATGCACTAACTCGGAAAAGGCTCAACATTATATTACATTACAACTGTTTCGGATACTGCCAAATGCTGAATTACTAGTAAACTTTGGAATTATTCCTT